CCAGTACCCGTACAATGCCTGTGGGCGTCGGCAGGAGTGTTTGTGAACACGCCTGTTTGGCCATGTGTTCGGTGTGCCAATCCTTCACTTAGCCTAAACTCCTACAGTCCTTCCCTAAACCCTAAACCCTAAACCCTAATCCCTAATCCCTAAACCCTAAACCCTAAACCCTAAACCCTAAACCCTAAACCCTAAACCCTAAACCCTAAACCGCCCGAAGCGCTTATCCAACCCCGAGCCCACTACATTCCCAAAAGCTCCGACCCTCTGAGAGTTATTCTCAAATCCCTACATTCCCAAACATGAGCCCAAAATTCTTAAGTCCCTAAAAGGTCTGAGCTCACCCCTCTCAACTTGTGGGTCCAATGTCTAGGACCCTCCAGTGGGCTTAAGGTTCTAGGGGGTCGGGACTCACGGGCGTGTAAGGGCTCATGGTTGACAGAGCCTTATCTGTTCTTGGGGATTTAGGAACTTTTGAGGCTTATTGCGTCTTGAAGCCTTGCAAGTGCCCACCCAAATGAAGCCCTAAAGCCCTGAACACGAACCCCAAAAAACAAACAGGGTCAGGGTTTAGGGTTTAGGGTTCAGGGTTTAGGGTTAGGTTTTAGGGTTGAGAATCTCTCATCCACGCTGTGGCCATTGGTACTGGCTCCCCATCAATCCACCATTGAGGCGCCGAAGACCCATGGTGAATTTCCAAACTCCCTGGACCCCTAACCAGAGACCTTTTCTGTCTGGGGTTAGCTTTTTGTCCTCTACCGCCGGCCGCCGCGCTCCCTTCGTGCTCGAAGCTTACGTTTTAGCCATGCAGGCCGCCAAGGGAAATGTGAGGCCACTGTATGTTTTACTTCGGGGCTTAGTGCGTGTATGCTCGTAATGTCGCATCAGTGTGGGCAGCAAAAAAGAAACAACCCCGAAAGGGTTGAAGCCTACATAAACCCCAACATCCTAAACACCCAACATGCTTAGACCGAAAGACCCCCATCGACCCAGCCCCTTACCCCCCCAGCCACACTGGGACTCTAGGGCTTAGGGCTTAGGGCTTGCAAGCAAATTACAAGATCAGGCCTTCTAGGGTTTATCGTAGGGTTCTTGGGGCTATGAAAACCTAGCATTTTAGACGATGTAAGGTTTTGGGCTTCGCGCCCTCATCCCTCAGCCTTCACCCTAAACCCTAAACCTCAGCCGCCCTTCTTCATGATGGCGGCCAGAAGCGTTGGGCGGCCCTAGCCCCTGAGCTCAAATGGCTGTAGGTATAGTCACCCCTTGGGGGGACAGCAGAGGAGCAAAGAAACTGCAATTAGCACGCGGACAAACCCTTCCGAAGCCCAAACCAAGCCCGAAACATCCCTCAACCCTAAACCCTAGAAAGGCTAGCGCAAACGCGACAGTAGACCCTACATCTGGCCATAAACCCTGCCAACGCCCGAAGCCGGCTTGCTAGCTGGGGGTTCGGGGGAAAACCGGGGGGTTCTTTCAATCTGAGGGTAGTTTCATGGGCCCTTGAGCTTCGAAGGGTTTAGGGCCCTCAGCCCTAGACCCTAAACCCCTAAACCCTAGAACCCTAGAACCCTAAACCCCTAGAGCCCTAGAGCCCTAGAACCCTAGAACCCCTAGAACCCTAGAACCCTTAGAACCCTAGAACCCTAGAACCCTCAACCCTAATCAGGAGTTAGCAGGCGACCTTTAACCTTTTGGGAGATATATATATATATATATATACTCCTACCAGAATTGAGAGGTTTGTCTTTTTTGGCCCAGGGAACTCCGCAACTAGGTTTAGGCGTTTGAGGCGGTTTCGAGGGTTCATAGTTTAGGGTTTGAAAGGCCCTTGGGTTTAGGGTTTAGGGTTTAGGGTTTAGGGCTTTGGGTTTAGGGCTTTGGGTCTTAGGCCTTGGGTGATGTTCCCGCCTGCCGGACTTTCGTAAGTTTCAAGTCTGAGGGCTTGACTGTGGGGTTTAGGGTTTAGGATATATGAAGGGTTTCGGGTTTAGGGTATAGGGTTTAGGGTTTGGGGTTTAGGGTTTAGGGGTTTAGGGTATAGGGTTTAGGGTTTCGGGTGTAGGGTTTAGGGAAGCAACTCCAAAGCCAGAAACAATTGGAAGCCGCCCTGCGGGGTTGCTTCGCGAGGCTCGCCGGCAACGTTATGCTGCGAAGCCTGCCGCTTAGCGGACTCCACCTTGCATCCCATGTTCTTCAAGCTCGTTTCTCTGGACTTCGAAGCCTGTAAACCCCAAACTCCCTAACCTTTCTTTGCCTTGACAACCCTAAACCTAGCCCAATCCATGATGCCTTAAGCTTCAGGGTTCAACTGCTGATGTACCCCAGCAGCATTGCCCGATAGAAAGACACTGGCTAGAGGGTTAGGGCTTCTTGCAGGTTCAGCTTTTTGGTGTAAGCTTGAATTGGGTTCTAGTGTTTACGGTTTCGGGCTTCTAGCTTCTCAAGTTCCTTGGGCGGATGCATGGAGACACTTATTGTTCAAATGGTGGTGTCTCCGCCAGCACAGATGTCCTGACAACGTCACTGGTTAGCTGCCGCTGATTTTGTATGCTTGGCCCGTGGATCCTAGACAACTCTTGCGATGCACCAGTGGTGTTTCAGCGTTCCAAGCACACAGCTAGATTCCAGCACCGACGTGTGTTGTGCACACAGCTGAGCTCAAGCCCTTGTCTAGCACCAAACTTAACCCCAGCCCCTAGATCCTCAACACCAAGCGCCCTAATCACCCTCAGCACCAAACACGCTAAACCCAACCACTACCCTCTCAGAATGATATAATCCCATTCCAATCAGGGTCCCCCCCCCCCCCCCCCTTGTATGTTGGAAAACCCCAAATCAGGTTTCGGGGTTAGAGATTAGGTGGCCCTAAACCCTAAACCCTAAACAGGCCTGGTGCTGATCGCCCTCGCCATGGGCTTAGCTGAGAAGCGGGGTCAGTCTGGGCTTTGGTGCTCAGCCTTTGGGTTTTAGGGTTTTTCGGGTTTTAGGGTTTCGTTTAGGGTTTATGGTTTAGCGTTTAGGATTTATGGTTCAGTTTCAGGGCACCCTTGACCCCAAGAGCCCTGAACTTTAGGATTCTGGGGCCCTCAAGTGTTCGAGACTGGGACGTGCAAGTCGTCGTTGGTCAAATGAAGTTCGAGGCAGCTGGTAGGCCTTTTAAGGTAGCCTACAGTTACAGCAATCATGTAGTGCGTAGGTAGTAGAGTAGGTAACCTGTAACCAAAGGTTAGCCTTTAGTTCCCCAAGGATACTGGACAACTAAGTGTACATGGTGCTTCTCGTTTTTCCTGAGAGCCACAGTCACCTGTGACTGGAGTTGGTGCAGAGCAGGTAATGTGGCCTCAACTTCTGTGTCGCATCCTGCAGTTGATGCTCGACAAGGGACGCCTCGTAGAACTCGTGCAACCCTTGCAGGCAGCAGCTAGGGTCTATAGGGTAGAGAGCGCGATGTCGTTCGTGACAGTCCACAAGCTCAAGCAGGTTTGCTGCAGGACCCTGGGTTTTCAATTCAGGCCCGCGCAAGGCCTTCATGGCCCCAGCCAAGCCTAAACCCTACTTGGAGGTTCATGGTACTTACAAACCAATGATAACAGTACTTATGACCGTATTCGGGCACTTAAGGGGCTTAAGCGGGGTTATGAGTACAGTTCTCATTGGCTAAACAAACAACGTGAACCTCCAAGTAAGCACCCGACTTCCAGGCCGCAGGGCCAATCAACCTGCTGCATGCTTTCGGTTTAGGGTTAGGGTTTAGGCTTTGGGCTTTGTGGTTTAGGGTTTAGGGTTAGGGTTTAGGGTTCAGGGGTTTAGGGTTTAGGCGATAGAGGTACTCTTGCAGTGTCCCACCTTCCAGCCAGAATGGATGGAAGTCGTGTGTAGGAAATACTTCTGGGTATACCTGCTAGACTCGCCATTGAGGGTGTGGAGCTTTCCTACTAAGGTCCTAAGCCCGACAGGCTAACCTGAAGCCCGCACCCTACAGCCAGCACCCACAGCCCCCCGAAACAAATGCGATGTAGAAGCCAAACCCAGAAGCCAAGGCCCCAAAACCCAAGGACCTACATGCCAGAAAGCAAAACTCCTGGACCCTCAGCACCCCTCAGCCCAAAAAGCCCAAACCTTGAGGCCCCCAAAAAGCAAGCAACACATCTGGCAAGGAGGGCCAGAGCAGTGCAGTTCCTGGATGTTTTTGGAGAGAATGCGCCGGGGAAGGCGAGCTGAGGGTTTCTGCTCGAGGGATTAATGGGGGGGGGGGGGGGGGGCGGGGCTGTTGGAGTTCAGAGTTTTGAGTGTGTATGTGGGGTTTGGGGAGCTTAAGGGTTGGGTTTAGGAGTTTGGAGTTTGGTGTCGGGGCTGAATCAAAAAGCTGTAAGCAGCAAGCGGCACCTTTAGGGTTTGGGAGTTTCGGGTTCCGATTTTTGGTTGCGGTTTAGGGTTTCGGGTCTAGGGTTTAGGCTTTAGAGCAGCAAAAGCTTGAAACCGGTATGACTGACAACGCTCCATCCAGCGTGCCTCATGGCATACGCAGGGCTCCAGATTGCCCCAGAGTAGGCTGTATTTGCGGACTTGACACCCTGAACATCCCGCCAGGTTCATGGTTCTGCCGAAGCAGTGCCACTAGCGAGGCCAGTCAGTGGAGATGACGCGAAGGACAGCGATGCTGCATAACCTGGGGGCCGGATGCTGACAGTGTGGGCGCCATTGCCCACCGTGTCATAGAGCTGTTCGGTTCTTGAAGCAACTCTTGCGATATTCGCCCTGTAAGCCCGAATTAAGCTTTCAGGCGCCGATGCTTGGATTCCCTTCCAGACGGCTGTTCTTTTAGTTTAGGTCCCATGTTGTGAGTCTCCATTGTCATACGTAAGGCCCTATAGTATAGGGTACCAAGAAGCGCCCCATGCACATTTTGAACCCTAGGTCCCTAGGAATGTTCGGAACCCTAGGAACCCTACACAAACCCTAAACCTTATGAACCCTAAACCCCGCAAGAGGAAGACATGGACTCCGCGCCGGCATCCTCAGATGCCACGCAGGCGGAGGAGCATGCCAGCAAAGAGCTGAAGCTGGAGGCCCTCCAGGGTTTGAGTGTTTGAGGGTTTGGAGGGTTTGGAGGGTTTGGTGGGTTTGGTGGGTTTGGTGGGTTTAGGGCTTAGGGTTAGGGTGGCTTGGGGCTTGGGGTTTGGGGTGTCATGTATCAGAGGGAAAAGGGAGCAAGGTGCTGTAGAAGAGGTAGGAGTACATATTGGTGTGGTCTGCGAATGATGGACACCGGTCTGCGACAACTTCCCAATCTAGAGTGCACCGTAGCTTTTCGGGGTCAGCAGCGTTGTCGGTGGGATGGCTTAATACGTTTGTCGTGCACGACGTTTGCAACCAGGATACTCCGATGACCAAGATGCCAGATCCAGATGCCAGTTCAGATGCTGCTGTGGCAGCCGACTCCTCAACGCAGACGTGCGGAGCAGATGCCGCGGAAGGTCCTCAGGAAGATGTGGCGGGGATCGAAGCCGAGATGGAGCCCGACAGGGAGTCAGATGAGGAGTCCAGCGCTGAGTCGGCAGAGCTGCTGGCGACTTGTCCGCAAGCGCTTGGCGTCGTCTGTTTCGTGGCTTTGTTGTTCATGACATGGCGGGGCACACGTCCTCTCTTGTGAGCTTGGCCAGTGGTGTATTCGGAGATCTTTAAAATGTGGACTGCGATGCACTGTGTGATCTCCTCTTGCTATGATCTAGAGGCCTCTACTTAGACTTAAAGACTGTCCAAAACGGTCTCTTAGGTGAACAGGCTTCTGACAGACCCGAATGAGCACCTGTGCCCGATTCTCCACTCCATGATGGAGCAGCCGGCCGTAGCAGAGGACCGCGCGTTCGACACGCGCAGTTTTTGTGCACCAGATCAAGAACGTCACCAGAACTACCAACCCTTAGATGATCAACCTTAGCCTGAATAACGGTTTAGAAGTTTAGAATTCAGGGTTCACGGGCTTGGGAGAATGGTAATTTTAACGCTACGCGACCCGCCTCGGCCCGGCCCAGCGCATCCGCGTGAGCATGGTGATTCCGCAGCGCCCAAGTCGCTGGACCCAAGCAATCAGGGTTGGGTTTAGGGTTTAGGGTTCCGGGTTTATGGTTTGGGGTTTAGGGTTGAGGGTTAGTTTAGGATTGAGGGCTTAGGGCTCAAGTCATGCTTTGGGGTTTGGGTTTTTTTTGGGTTTAGGGTTCAAGAGACTGTTCAGCTTGGATTGATCGTAGGGTTGAGCCAAGGTTTATAGGGCATGGGTCTTGGGTATACACTCGAAGATCCGAGTTCAGAATGCACATCCTCGTTTATCATCTGCCGTTGGGATCATGCCAGCCAGCATTTCTTGATTGTTTCTGACTTGAAACTGAAGTAAATGTGGCATGAAGCCTAAACGATCCACATATAGAATCTGTCTCAACCCGAGCCTCAGTTACGACTTCGAGGACGGCTTCACGTACGAGCGGATGGCTATTGAAGAGGCCTTGCGGCATCGCCGCAGAAGCCCAAAGACCAATGAGCCCATGGGGACGAAGGCGCATTGGGTCTCAAGGGTTTATAGGCAGAGGGGTTTGGGTTGTGCGTTCTCGGGTGTTATCGGCTTGGAGACACTGTGCCAGGTCATCCCGAACCATGACAAGCGGATTGCAATCATTAGCTACAAGGAGCAGACCGTCCTGGAGATCATCTCAGTTGCTCCACGGGTCAGCAGCTACTACGCAGGCGCACCCCCTTAACCTCATTTAAAGCCTTAAACTGCCTATGAGTAAAGCCTATAAATATTTCGATTCTACACCCTAGCAAAGCCAGCCAAATACCCAAGCAGCCCTCTAAATCCCAAACGCAGGCAAGCTGCTGCAGAAGGCCGAGAGCTTTGTTCGACCCCAGCTCCCGGACCGGGCTGCGCGAGCAACGCTTCTGCAGATCTTGCGGCTGAAGCTTGGCTTTGCGCTGGTATGGTTAGGCCTGCCCTACGGGTACATGTGCCGAGATACATATCTGGCTGTATACGTCCATAATACTTGCTTTATGATGACTTTGGCCCCCCCCCCCCCCTACATACTAATTTACAAATTTAGTTTTCACACTACGCGAGCCGCCTCGGCCAGGGCCTGCCCAGCGCGGGTGGGAAGGTGCTGTTAGGCTTCCGCGCTTTGAGAGGCTTCGTGCAATCGGGGATCCTGCTGTAACACGCTGGACTTGGGAGTGGTAAACCCCCTAAACCCTAAACCCTAAACCCTAAACCACGCAGGCAGAACGGGTTTGGGTGGTGAGGGGAACAGAGGCCAGTAGGGGCGTGGGGGGGTGGGGGGGGGTGAGCGGTGAGCGTCCGCTCACGAAAAGTGTTGGGAGGGGATTCGAGGTGGGGTATGTGCTCTATGCTACCCATACACCTACGACCCGAGGCGTGGCACGTGGGCCTTTAGGGTTTTTTCTGGCCGTTTGGGGTTGCAGAGGCTTAAGGGCTTGTGGTTTTAGTTCTCCACTTATGGGGCCTTCTTGGGTTCCTCGTGCGTGAGGAGATAGGAAGCTTATGTCGCAGTGCGCTGTTGTACCTTTTGCCACATCTGAGGAAGGCAAGCCGGGTTGCAGAGCATCGTGGCACTGCGGTCTCCGAACTGTTCAGCATTCTCAGCAGGGAAGATTCGGAGACCATCATGGGTTTGCTGCAGAATTTTGAAGCATATGGCTTGCGGTCGCACCTGAGTCAGTGCGACGACGGGATGATCGCCACACTGCAGGCCGCAGCACGCATCCCTCCGACCCTGCCGTGCCATGCCACCCTCGACTGGGAGCATGCGCGCAGGCTCATGGCCAAAGCGCAAACCGCTGACGGTGCCCAAGCTTTCTGGCAGTTCGTTTTCCTGATGAGCACAGGAGAGGATCCTGGAGCTTGGATGGATGCTGCAGCTTTGATGCTGGTGGCAGTCCATGACGAAGCCCAAGTGAGTTTGTTAGCTTTGCCGGATGATCTGCTCCACAAGGCTCAAGCCTTTCTGCAAGATGAGCCAGCCAGATCAGCTCGTGCGAGCGAGCTCTTCGACACTGAGCTGAATTGGGGCAGCGACCAGGATCGCACGAAGCTTTGGGTCACGCTGCTCTTCGAGCTATCCAAGAGATGCCCGGAAGACACCGTGGCCCGGAGCCTCATGCTGGAAGCCATGCAACTCCTCCTGCGGCTGGAGCCTTCATCCATCCTGGCACTTGCAAGGCAGCTTGCTGCAGGCGGTCGAGGTGTGGAAGCCGCACAGGTTGGTGTTGCGGCCGCACAAGCCTTTGCAAGTTGCAACAGGCAAGAGGATGCTCTGCAGTCCTACCTCTTTGCCTACAGCCTGGACCCGAACAACGCGCACGCCTCGCGTGGTGCAGTCACAGAAGCTAGCAGAACATGCTCCGAGCTGCAGAGGCTGAACAGGGAGCAGCATGCCACCATTGCGTCCCAGGGTGCCAGAATTGCCGCTTTGGAAGACAAGGTGAAGAGCTTGGGTGGCCCGCCGGTGATCGTTGGCAGCTCACGCTCTATCCAGACAGGGCCGGGTACATCCTTATTCCTTGGCGGGCCGATCATCTTCGCTTGGGACATTTCGCAGGAGGACTTCTCGGGGCTGTCCAAGGGGGAGTGCAGAGAGAGCCCGAGCTTTACGCTGCCAGGGCTTGACATCAAGGTCTGGATAAGGTACCATCCGCAAGGGGAGCAGCGCTCACCCAATGGATTTGCAGCTGTTTTCCTGATGCGAGATCAGAAGAGCAAGGTCCAGTTTGAGCTGAGCATGGATTCAAACTCCTGGAAGTCCGAGAGCTTTGATCATCTGCCATGGAATGAAGCTGGAGAGGGTCGAGGAACTTGCAACACATTCTTCCGGCAAGGGCGCTGCAAGATCCAAGCGACCATCCAAGCAGTGCGGCTCCACGGCTCCGACGACCTGACCTATCGCTTCTAGACGTTCTCCCTTTGATTGTTCACGCAGTAATATTTGCGAGACAGAGAGCTATATGTAGTAGGTAGAGACGTAGGTGCACTTAACCTACATAGGTTAATCGTTTAAAGCCGGTCTTCATCCGACGTGAGCTCGAAGCTCTCCGTTGGATCCGCCGCCCTGGGCGCCAGTTGCGCATAGCGTCGCTGGATTCGGTGGCAACACTTAGCGCGCTGGGTGGCTGATGTTCTCCTGACAGCCCTATGCAGCCTATACACCCTAAACAACTAAATCCTACATGCCAGACCCCCCGTACCTTACAACGCTACGAAGAGGCAACCCCCTTTAACTGCTAAGAACTCCAAGCCCTAAAAGCTGTACGTGCCGGGCCAAGGACCCTCCTCCCCACCCCCACTCGCCCTTATGCCCGCGCCGGAACCACTTTTCAGCTCAGGCGTTTGAGGGCTCTTGAGCTGAGCCCTGACCAGTCGAGATCCCAAGCCGCTAAGCTTACACTCGCACGTTTCAGCCACAAGTTACTTCCGTTGCACGTAGCAGTTAATGCTCGACCCATGCAACCCCTAACCCTGCCTTAACCCCCAAAATATCCTAAAACCCTAAACCCTGAAGCCCTTATAACTAAAAAACACCTAAACCCTAAAACTCTAAACCAGCAGAGCGCAATGTCGTTCTTGGGAAGCCGCAAGCGCAAGAGGTTCTGCTGCAGGACCCTGGGGTCTAGGGTTTTCGGGGTATGGGGGTTCAGGTTTGGGAGTTAACCGTAAACGTGTTTTGCACTCAGAGCGGTTTTTGAGGGCAGCCCGGACCCGTGGGTTGGGTCGGCGGCGCGCTAGGCCGTAAACCCTCTACTGTTCTAGCCTTCCGAGCCGCGTGGCCGTATGTCTGCCTTTCCTTTCATTTATTCATGTACTGGGCTAGGGTTTTGGGTTTTGGGTGTAAGGCTTAGGGGCTTGAGTCCCTAAGCTCTAAACTCTAAACCCACATCCTTCTATCTGCCATGAGGGGCTGGCCCCAAAAGCCCAGCAGGGTTTAGGGGTTTAGGGGCTTCGGGGGCTTGGGGTTTCGGGGGCTTAGTGTCTAGGGTTTAGGGGCTTCGGGGTTGCGGGGTTTGGGGCTCTAAGGTTTTGAGGTTTAGGGTTAGGGGTTTTAGGATTCTATATAGGGTTTAGGCTTTAGGGGCCCAGGAGGGCCAGGGCCACGGAGTCGCTTGACATCTCTGGCGACAAGGATCCGGCGCAGGCGATCCGAGGGTCCACAGTCTTAGGGATTTAGGGGGGTTTGGGGGCGTTTTGGGGGTTTAGGGTTTAGGGCTTGGGGTTTAGGGTTTGGGGCTTCGGGTTTAGGGTTTAGTATAGGGCTCGGGGTTTAGGGTTTCGGGTTTGGGGGTTAAGGATCGCAAGGCCTTGAGTCTTAGGATTTCTCTCTTCATTCTAGGGCTTTAGGGTATACGGTATAGGGTTTCGGGTTTAGGGTTAAGGTTTTGGGTCTTTGGGGGCTTAGGGTTCAGGATAGTGGGTTTAGGGTTTAGGGCTTAGGGCAGGTAGGCTTTCAGGGTGTTCGTTATTTGCTGTGGAGTCTCAGGCAACTGAGACTGTAAGGTTACCGGTTTTCAGTCTATACTTTTTTGGTTTCGGTGTCCTTGGGGACCTGAACCTGAATCGCCAAGACCCTAAAATCCTAATCCTAAAACCCTGAACTCTAAGCCCTAAACCCTAAGTCCTAAACCCTAAGCCCCTAAACCCTAAACCCATTTAGCACTCTTTGGAACTCCTTAGGGGACTCTTGGGTTGGGGCGGGGCTTGGGTTCCAATTTTCTGCGTTGAGGGCCGGGGGTTTAGGGCTTTTGGGGCTGAAGTTCGTGTTCAGGATCTAGAGGCTTCGGCGTTTTGAGGGTCGAAGGTTTAGGGTTCGGGACAAGGGTTTGGTTGGGAGTTTGTTTGGTGTTTAGTTCTGGTATCCATTACAAGGACCCAAACCTTTGCCTTGCATGATGTGATGGTACAACTCTCGCGCAGGGTTCAGATGGTCCCTTGCAAGGTGTCAGTACCTCAGCCATCCTAGACTCTACCAAAAGAGCTCAACCCTCTACTTCTTGGCTAATCAATAATAATAAGGCTACCCAAGAATCTCATAAGGTTCACGGTAACAAGCCACGAAGAAGTAGCTTTGGGATAAGCCCTTCGACGGCCTCTACGCCACAAGTGCTTTATTCCCGCAAACCTGCAATCCCCAAGCAATTGTTTAAACGTTGAAGCTTCGAAGATTCGGTTTCAGGGTTTAGGATTTAGGGTTTAGGGATGCAACATCAAAGTTGCAGGCGACTACTGAAGGTTGCTGGTGGGCAACAGCTACTGGACTAGAACCTTTGCGTTACTCAGCTTGCCCCGTGTGCGCCCGATGCCCTTCAATTATGAATCCAATGTATGCACGCTTGTGAATAACCCCCTGGTTCTTAGTAGGGAATGAGGGCATTAGGGCTCTACGTATATATCTATATATATATATATATATGTATATTTTTCATTTACAAAATTGCGGTTTAGGGTTTAGGGTTTAGGGCCATAAACTTATTTATGTATATACAGGGATTATACAGGGTACCTCAGTCCCTCACTCCCTACGAAGCACACCCTCGAGACTGCCAGGCCCTGTGCTCTGCCGATGCAGCGCCCCTGGCAGCAGTCGCGGAGGAGAGCCGGTTTAGGGTTTAGGGTTTAGGGTTTAGGGTTTAGGGTTCGGGCTAGGGCTTAGGGCTTAGGGTTTAGGGTTTAGGGTTTAGGGTTTAGGGTTTAGGGTTTAGGGTTCAGGGTTCAGGGTCTAGGGTTTCGGATTTAGGGTTTAGGGTTTAGGGTTCAGGGTTTAGGGTTTCGGGTTTAGGGTTCAGGGTTACAGGCTAAGGAGACCCGAAACTTAAAACGGGGGTTTACGAAAATGAGGGGACCCTAAAGAAGACCCCAAATAGAGGAATTCCTTTGCAATGAGGACACCAAGAAGGTACCCTGAATTTCGGAAACCCCCCAAATGGGCCTATACGTGGCACAAGGCTGCTCTGGGATGGAATTTGCAGGGGGTAGGGAAGTATCAGCAGAGACCAGAATCCGACTTTACGGGCCGTCCCCTGTGCAGCTTAAACAAGAATGCGCCAACTGCGAGCAGTGAGTGTCAAACTCAAGCATGGGGATTGGGGTTGTCTCCAAAACCACCTGAAAGTGCAGATGTTTCCAAGAACATTCTGCGCAGCATTGTCTTGGCCCGCGACTTGGCCTACGACCAAGACTACTATTTGCTTCAGAACCCCAAAAGAATTAGACAAATAATCCCTATACTATACCCTTAATAAGGAAGAACATCTAGCAACTAGTAGACGAGACCTTCCGGTGCAGTTGAACCTTGTCTAGACCCTGTAGTCCATTCCTCAGAGTTTCGGGCGCCCAATAGGGCACAGGAAGAACTAGTTCAGCCCTAAATCCCGAAAAATATACCCTAAACCCTAAACCCTAAAACCTAAACCCCATCTGTGTTCAACAGGAAGACACCTCCCTGCTGGTGGGCCCAAACGCAGCGGAGCTTGAGGAGAATGCCAGCAAAAGGCCGAAGACGGAGGTGCGCCTTCGGGTTGGTAGCAGGTCTTCGGCCAGAGTTGAGCGTTTGGGGTTTAGGGTTTAGGGTTTCGGGTTTGGGGTTAAGGGTTTAGGGTTTAGGGTTTACGGTTAGCAAAGGTCCTGGGGGCATTTTATCGCAATGGCGCGCATGGTTTGACAACTTTTCGGTGTCTGCAGCGCGCGCTGTGGGCCGGAAGGCTCCCTAAACCGATTCAAACCCTGTAAACCCTATAAGCCCTATTACTTGGAGGTTCATGGTACTTATTAGCCAGTTATGACTGTACTTATAGCCCACTTGCATGTCACTACTTAGGTAGCCTTAATCTGGTTATAAGTACAGTTATAAGTACCGTTATAATTGGTCAACAAGTACCATGAACCTCCAAGTACACCCCCCCCCTATAAACCCTAAGCTCCAAACCGCTCATGTGGTGCCAGGATGCTCCCGCCACCAACATCGCAGGCGCAGATGCCATTTCAGGTGGCCAGTTCTTTGAATTCAGGACCCTTTTGGGGAGCATTATACAAGGCTCCCTACTATTGTATATTCTAATATTAGCATTAGTAGGAACCCCAATTCCCTACTACTGTATAATTATTATCGTGTTAAAGTAGGAACCCCCAATTAGGAACCCACTATTTATATAGGGAGCCCATACTTCCGACGGCCCAGGTGCCGCGGGGGCTGCCGACCCGCCAGCGCAAGTGGCGTTGGCGTCCCGTCCTGCAGAAGATCCTTGGGGACAAAGTCACAAAGGATGAACCCCAAAAATTGGGGCGGCACGACTAGAATTCCTGTTTTAAAGTATATGAGCCGCAAACCCTTTGAGGGTTCATTTGGTCCGCAAGGATGTGCTACGAACTGGTGCCGAAATGGCAGCCGATCGGGAGTCGGATGAAGAGTCAAGGGCGGAGTCGGCGGAGCTTTTGGCAGCTTGTCCGCAAGTGCTTGGAGCTGATTACTAGGTAGCACACCCGCTCCCTACAACTGGGGCCTTTCCCCTTGTCGCAGGGTCTTAAACAGCTTCTGGGTCTGGAAAGGGAGCAGGGAATAGGAAAGGGACCTTTCAAAGGATTGCATGTAAGGGAGTGGATTGTGAACGGGGGCGTTGTAAGGCTTTTGAGGCAAGAGGTGAAGACGTTGCAATCCGTAGACCCAAAGCCTTGGCTGGAACCTGAAAGAGGACCATGCGCACGTCAGGGCTGCGGACTACTCCCTTCTTTAAACTTAGTTTCCTTACAGATTATGTTACCAGTCTTTTCTTGTGTAGAACCTGCGCAAACATATTTTATATCCACAAAGAATTTTAGTTCCTTTTTGATTCTGATGTTGTAAAGAAAGTATGGCCCAGTTGTTGGGAGCTGCTTGCCAGTGTAATGGTTACAAGGGCGTCCTGCGTAGTGCTTCGAATATTTAAGCCAAGAGGTCAGGGCCTTGACATTGAACTGCAGAAGCGAAGATACTCAAGAAATGCGTCTGCTCTGCAAACCTTGTCTTCGAAGAGGGCCCCTCCGGACCCAATATGCGCTGGACCCTTTCTTATTCGGGACCAGACTTGTCTTTGCAGAGGGTCCAGCATTCCGTGCTGCAAGCTCCTATAACCACATGGCCTCCCAAGGGAAGTCTGCGCAGACGATCTCCAGTAAGTATGCTTCACGAGCTTAGGTTAACAGGCTTCTGACGGACCCCGATGAGCACTTGTGCCCGATCCTCCACTCAATGATGGAGCATCCGGCTGTAGCAGAGGACTGTATCCACAAATAAGCCCTAACCCTAAACCCTAAATCCTAAACCCTAAACCGTAAACCCGAACCAGGGCCAACCTGGAACCTTGAAGTCCTAGTTCTTCCGAGTAAGCTTGCAGAAAAAACCGCCTCAACTTGCCTCAGAGGATGGCTTCACGTACGAGCAGAAGGCCATTGAAGAGGCCTTGCAGTATCGCCACCGGAGCCCGAAGACCAATATGCCCATGGGGACAAACATCATCCCGAATCGAGACAAGAAAACTGCCATCATCAACTACAAGGAGCAAACCGTCCTGGAGATCATCTCAGTTGCTCCACGGGTCAGCAGCTACTACGCAGGCAAGCGGCCCTGAACCCTCCACCGCAGAAGTAAAACCAAGCAGCCCTGGGGCCCTGGAAGGAAAAGTCCTAAATCTTGAACCTATAGAATATTATTAATCCCCCCAAAACGAAAAGAATCCCTATCATAAGCATTTCTAGGCCGTAAACCTGCCCTGTAGCCCTGTACACTCTACTGGCAAGCAAGCTCCCTCCCTTAATCCTCAACCGCAGAAGTAAAACTCATAATTGTCCTGGGGCCCTGTAAGCCCTGAGCGCAGGCAAGCTGCTGCAGAAGGCCGAGAGCTTTGTTCGACCGGAGCTCCCGGACAGGACCGCGAGAGCAACGCTGCTCCAGCTCTTGCGGCTGAGGCTTTGCTGTTGGTCCCCTATCCTCGTAAACCTCCAATTCTCGAACCCCTTGATGTTTTGGGTTGTATAGGTCTCTTCGAGAACTTGAGGGTTTAGGGTATTGAGGGTTTAGGTTGACGTCGGCTAGTTTAGGTTCCTTTGGGTCGTTCCCATACTGCATTTTCAAAACAGTGCTGTCATGCCTTCTTCCGCGTTGAGCATCCGAGGAAGGCAGGCCGAGTTGTGGAGCAGCGCCGCGACGCGGTGTCCGAACTGCTCAGCATTCTCAGTGGCTGGGAAGATTCCGAGACCGTCATGTACTTGCTTCAGAATTTCGAGGCATATGGGTTGCAGTCGCACCTGAGTCAGTGCGACGACAGGATGGTTGCCAAACTGCAGGCAGCAGCACGCATCCCTCCGACCTTGCCGTGCCATGGCACCCTCGACTGGGAGCATGGTCGCAGGCTCCTGGCCAAAGCGCGAACCGCTGATGGCGCCCAAGCTTTGTGGCAGTTCGTGCTCCCACTGAGCACGGGAGGTGATCCTGGAGATTGGATGGATACTGCAGCTTTGGTGCTGGCGGCAGTCCATGATGCTGCTCAGGTGGATTTGGCAGCCCTGCCGGATGATCTGCTTCAGAAGGCCAAATCGTTTCTGCAAGACGAGCCAGCAGCATCAGCTCGTGCGAGCGAGCTCTTCGACAGTGAGTTGAACTGGGGCAGCGACCAAGATCGCAGCAGGTTTTTGGTCACGTTGCTCTTCGAACTATCCAAGAGATGTCCGGAAGAAGGCGTGGCCCAGAGCGTCATGCGGGAAGCCATGCAACTACTCCTGCAGCTGGAGCCTTCTTCTATCCTCGCACTTGCAAAGCAGGTTGCTGCAGATGGTCGAGCTGTGGAGGCCGCGCAGGTTGGTGTGGCAGCTGCCCAAGCCTTTACAAGTTGCAACAGGCAAGAAGAAGCTTTGCAGGCGTACCTCTTTGCGTACAGCCTGGACCCGAACAACGCGCACGCCTCGCGTGGTGCGGTCGCAGAAGCTAGCAAAACGTGCTCCGAGCTGCAAAAGATGAACAGGGAACAGCACGCCACCATTGCGTCCCAGGGTGCCAGAATTGCAGTGCTGGAGGAGCAGGTGAAGAGCTTGGGTGCTGGCGCCCTTCGTTCCTTCCAGGATGGGCCGGGCACCACCTTATTCCTTGGCGGGCCGATTATCTTCTCTTGGGACATTTCACAGGAGGACTTCTCGGGGCTGTCCAAGGGGGAGTACAGAGAGAGCCCGAAGATTGCCGTGCCAGGGCTTGACCTCAAGGCCTGGATAAGGTACCATCCGCAAGGGGAGGAGCGCTCACGCGATGGATTTGCGGGTGTTTTCCTGATGCGAGATCAGAAGAGCAAGGTCCAGTTTGAGCTGAGCGTGGACTCGAATACCTGGAAGTTCGACAGCATTCATGATCAGCCATGGGCTGAAGCTGGAGAGGGTCGAGGAAACGCCAACAGTTTCCGGCAAGGACCGCACCGCAAGATTCAGGCGGCCATCCACGCAGTGCGGCTCCGGGGCTCCGACGACCTGACCTATCGCTTCCAGACGATGTCATCTCCCTCCGCGTAGTCGATTTTCAGCGAAGGTTCGCCACGGTTTCTAGTGTATCTTTGAGGGGGACGTGTAGGATGAGGTTGTTTACAGCCGTTATCCGTCCGTGTGCTCGGAGGGCGCCAGGTGCACAGGTGTCCTTCAACAACGAAACTTCAGAGCGCGGCAGTGTTGAGAGATTTGGAGGGCTTTGGGGTTTGAGTCCAGTTACTTGCTGCTCTCATGACTGTCACTCGTATCCTGAACCCTAAACCCTATGCCCTGAACACCAGAACACTTGAACATAGCTTCTACAGATCCTCAAACGTCAAACCGTGATACGCTGCCAATTTCTTGCCAGTGAGGTCAGGACTAGCGACACCTTTGGCTAAAAAAATCCTCCAAAGGACACTTCCTGCTTGGGTTTATGCAGGGTAGGTTTTCACCACAGTTTAGAAGCTTAGGCTCCAGAAGCCAGACCCTCAATCCTACCCTAAGCCGCGAAACCCTAAGCTCCCAAATGCCTAAACTCCAAACCTACGCCCTAGGACACCGGACCCCAGGACTCACCGAGAGCCTTAAGGTCCTCCCTATAAACTCCGTGATCCCCATGAGGCCCTGTAAGCCCACAGATAACAACGAAGCTACATGCCTCTATACTCCCAAAGCCCTGATCAAAGACTTCTAAAGCCCCCTCCCCACCTAAACAATAACACCCCTAAATCACCAAACCCTAAACCCCAAACCCCTAAACCCCTCTAAAAGCTTGTGCCCAAACCCCTAGAACCCCCCCCTAAAGCCCTGAGCCCGAAACCACCTACCTGAAGCCTCTAACGTAGTTCCGTTTCGGGCAATAGGGGGAGTCTAGTATACTACCCGCAAACTGGTGCCACGCACCACCTGGGACCCTGTGGGACCCTAAACCCCGAACCCTAAACCCCAAACCCCTAAACCCCAAACCCTAAACCCCAAACCCCCAAACCTTAAACCCTAAACCCCAAACCCCAAACCCCAAACCCCCACTCCTCCGAGGCGCTCCGCGCAGCCCGAGGCCAAGACTCCCCGGAGTGGCGTCTCCCGGCTGAGCTCCCGCCGGTGGCCGCGGCCTCGGCAGTTCGAAGGGCGGTAGAGGTTTTCCTCTAACCCTAAACCCTAACCTCTAAACTCTAAACTCTAAACCCTAAACCGAAACCATCAAAACCCTAAACCCTAAGCCCTGCAACAACAAGGCCCAGGGTCTGAGGGCGGCAGGACGTGTTGCCAGGGAGGGAGGGGGGCCATGCGGCATAGGGTTTAGGGTTTAGCGGTTTATAAGGCGTTTAGGGTTTATAGGGTTTAGGGGTTTAGGGTTTTTTGGGTTGCAGGGTTTTTAGGGTTTTAGGGTTTCGGGGTTTAGGGTTCTATGGTTTTAATGGATTTAGGGTTTTAGGGTTGCACCCGAAGCTCACAACCCCAAGCTGTGCGAGGTCCGCGGTGTGCCGTTGGGCAATGAGTCCGAGAAGCCTTCCCGACGCTTGCAGGCCAGCGTCCTGTGCAGTGATTTAGGGATTGAGGTTTAGGGGTTTATGGGTGTAGGGGTTTAGGGATTAAGGTTTGGTGTTTAATTAGGCGCTAATTAGGCGTTTCGGGTTTTAGGGGTTTAGGGGTTAGGGGTTTAGGGGTTTAAGGGGTTTTAGGGTTTAGGGTTTTAGGGGTTTAGGCATTTAGGGGTTTAGGGTTTTTTAGGGGTCTATAGGGCTTAGGGGCTATGAGGGGGGGGGGGGGGGGGGGTATGGCTCATAGGATTTGGATGATTCGGGTCGGGGTTATATGGCTGTAGGGCTTATCGGTCTTCTACAGTTTATGCGGTTTATAGGGTTTATAGGGTTTATTCAGCAAGAGGCTATAGGGTTTTTTATAGTTCTTATAGGCCTTCGCAGGGCCTATAGGGTTTACAGAGTTGCAAGGTCTGAAGGTTGAAACCCAAAAAGCCTCTGAAGCCTGAAACCGATACATCCTCAAGTTCAGAAAGCCCGGAACCCCACAACCCTCAACCCCCAAAAGCAACCCTAAACCCTAAACCTTCAACCCCCCCAAAAACCCTTAAACCCTCAACCCTTAGGCCTAAACCCCTAAATTGCGCTAGGGAGCTGGCAATACTTGGGGTGCCCTAAGCCCTAAACCCTAAACCCTAAACCCTAAACCCTAAACCCCTAAGAATTCCCAGCAGCTCCAAATGAACCCGAGTAGGGTTCAGGTCTTGTGGACTTCGGCGTTAGACCTCGAAGTGAGAGCTGTGCTTGGGTTTAGGGTTTCGGGTTTAGGGTTTAGGGTTTCGGGTTTAGGGTTTAGGGTTTAGGGTTTAGGGTTTAGGGTTTGAAGGGTTTAGGGTGTAGGCTTTAGGTTTAGGGTTTAAAGGGTTTAGGGTGTAGGGTTTAGGGTTTCGGGTTTAGGGGTTAGGGTTTAGGGTTCAGGGTTCAGGGTTTAGGGTTTAGGCTTTAGGGTATAGGGTTTAGGGAAACTTGGCCCAGGGCCATGATCGATTGCAGGAGACTGCCAGCTCTGAGAACTCTTTGCAGTTCCTGACCATACGCTTACTCTGCAGCCCTAAACCCTAAATCCTAAACTCCTAAACCCTAAACCCTAAACTCTAAACTCTAAACCCTAAGCCCTAAGCCCTAAGCCCGAAGCCCGAAGCCCGAAGCCCTAAGCCCTCAGCCCTAAGCCTTAATCCCTAAGCCCTAAGCCCAGACGTGGGTCCCGCCGCATCTGCTGGCCTGAACCTTACTTGGGACAGGCCCTGTCGGTTTCTGGTGCAGGTTGCTCTGGGGGTTAGGGTTTAAGGTTTAGGGTTTGGGTTTAGGGTTTAGGGTTTAGGGTTTAGGGTTTGGGGTTTGGGGTTTGGGGTTTGGGGTTTGGGGTTTGGGGTTTAGGTCCGGTAGGGGTTTCGGGCCTCGGGTGTAGGGTTTACAGGTTTGGGATGCAGCTTGCCGGCTTCAGGGCTGTTGAACCTTCACCTCACCCAAGATCTGTACATGAAGTAGGGTTTGCGTAGGGGTTTAGGGTTTAGGGGCTTAGGGGGTTTACGGGTCCAACGTGCTTTCAGAGCATCATTGCAAGGCCTGCCGCTGACTACAGGAGCCCACCACCATGTCCAGTATCTAAACCCTAAACCCTAAACCCTAAACCCTAAACCCTCGTCCAGGTGAATGCCAACCTAAAGCCCCCTGGGCCAGCTGACCCTATGTCTGACGCCTAAGATCCCCATGCTCAACCAGGCAGCCCCGTCTGAACTTCTTCAATGCTTCAGCCTAAACCCTAAACCCTAAACCCTAACCCAAAAACCCAAAGCATCGAAATTGAACACGCCCAAGATCATCCCAAATACATGTTAATAATGTACCTGAATTGGGTTACTTAGGGTATCTGAAACCTAAACCCTAAACCCGAAACCCCAAGCCCAATGCATCTAAACTCCGCGCGGACGCTGCCGAGAACCGGATCCCGCCACCTCCGGTCCAGTACATCCCGGGCACCGGCGCTGTCATCGCGCGGGTGTACATCATGTACGAGGTCGGATTTTGGGGGGTTTACGAAAATAAATGGGGACCCCTGAGATAGTCCCTTAAATAGTAGGAGCCCCTTATGGTAAGTACGAGGTCGGATTTAGGGCTTGGGGTTAGGGTTTTAGGGGTTAGGGGTTAGGGTTTAAGGGTTTAGGGCTTTTAGGGCTTATGGGAGTTTTGGGTTCAGCGGTTTAGGGTTTAGGCTTTTCGTTTTCAGAGGGCTCCGGCCCAACGAGGACTTGCTGTACTTGTCGAATCTTCAGTGATTCATGAGAATGATGATCCACATATCTTCTATATACATAGAGGACTAAACCCTATAAGCCCTATAAACCTTATAAACCCTATAAACCCTATAAACCCTATAAACCCTCTAAACCCTCTAAACCCTCTAAACCCTATAAACCCTATAAACCCTAAACCCTAAACCTTGCATGAACCCTAAATCCTAAACCCTGGACTGGGGTGTGGAGGCGTCCCCTTTCTTGCCAGGTAAAGACCGACGACTGGCACTACATGAAGACGCGGCTCAGCAACCGCTTGGCGGCATACCTGGCACCCCCGCCGCGGTTTAGCGTTTAGGGTTTAGGGTTTAGGGTTTAGGGCTTAGGGCTTAGGGTTTAGGGTTTAGGGTTTAGGGTTTAGGGTTTAGGGTTTAGGGTCCTCGGGACAAAATGAACCCTAAAATTGAAGCATAATGCATACGAAGATATTATGAACAATAAGTCCTTTTAGGATTCCTTCGGGTCCTCCAGGTGCTCAGGTCTTAATAGCAGTGGGAGGCTTCTGTCATGGGTTCCCCTACTCTACCCCCTCTATACTAGGGTGTAGGGTTTAGGGTTTAGGGTTAAAGGTTTAGGGTTTAGACTTCTCTAAATTTGGCCACCTTCTTGTGTCCTATGTATAGCACGGTGACGGCACCCTCATAGTAAGGACCCCAAAAAAGGACCCTAACCTGGGGAACTACCCATCTAGGCAGGAGGCCCCAACAAGATCACAAAGGGACCTCCCCTCATATTTCGACAACTCACATATAGCCTGAGTGCGCTTCCGGTACCGGAACTCTGATGCTGATGGCTGCCGCGGGTGACTAAGTTGCATCCCGCCAGGGAATTCAGCCCGTGTACGTGGACCTGGAACAGGTTGGAACCCACACCCTAAAACCCGTAATCCTAAACCCTAAACCCTAAACCCTAAACCCTGTACACGCCCAGGATCCCACCGGTGCGAACCCTTCACTGCCTTCACCCACAAACCTTGGAATGGTTGGTGGTCTCGATTTTCTGCTTGGTAGGGGGTTTAGGGTTTAGGGTTTAGGGTTTAGGGTTTAGGGTTTAGGGTGTGTAGGGGCTATATTAAGGTATAAGGGTAACAGATAAAGAGGCCGCCGGCCATTACAACACGAACCCTAAACCCCAACCAAAGCCCAGCACCACCAATAGATGGGGTTTGGGGTTTCGGGCTTGTACAGGGTAGCCTTTATGCCCCCCCGTC